TAACTTTTCTTCTTCCCTTTTACCCAAGTTCAGAGTGACTGAAAGGAAAAAAAATCTTAAATGCTCACCAATTAAAACTTTAGCCAAATTCTGTGAAGATTTTTTGATTAATTTTTCATGTCTGACACTTTTTACAGGAGCATGATTTTTATGAAAAGGAGAAGCAATTTAATGGTGTTTGCCAACCAGCCTATTTTGACTCTTTCAGAGTCTTCTTTCACTTTTCTTCTCATCCTTTCCTTGCTAGACCAAACTCAGATTAATTTGTTTTGATTCTTTTCTGCTTTGTGGGGCATGCCTAAAAAAATCTTTAACTCAGATGTCATACAGTTCTCTTCATTATATGGAAGACTTCAAGGAAGCTAAGTTACTGAAAGAAGGCCTGTACCACCCATCACTGATCTTTTCAGTGAGAAGCACTAAATTTATCAATGCAACAGCAAGGCAGAGCTGCTTTGGAAAATATATCTGGTCAAGTTTTCAGGTAACATAGCTCTTTTTGACCTCACAAACACTGGTTTGAGTTTTGGTCCATTACAATTGTGCACAGAAGTATTTTTTAAATTTCAAACTGTGGTCTAATTCTTACCATACGCAGACAGTACTCAGCAGATTCTCTTTTTAATAGTTAACAATATTATATGAGAGCAATAAGCACCTGAAAGATAAACATATTATTTTTTTATATCCTGTTTATTCCTAAAATGTAACTATCTTAGCTTCCTTGAGTGCAAAGATATAATGAAAGCTAAAAGGGAGGTAGCAGGTACCAACTATAATAATCAGTCTGCATGGGTACCAAATCTGCAATTACAATTTACAGGTTAAGTGATCATCCTATGGAATATCTGGGAACATAAAAAATCTCTTTAAACTTAATTAGGACAAGTTATTAAAGCAAATCTTGAGGGGAAAGAGGGGAAAAATGAGGCAATGAGAAGAAATCACTGTCCTTAATACTTCTGAACAAAGTAAAATCACTCTCATGTGAATTCTAGTTATGGCAGTGAAACAGTAAGAAAAGTAGGGGAAAAGAAAGGGAAAGAAAATAAAAATAATTAAATTGTTGGTTTATGAAAGGAGAAAGGAAAAAAACAGGCATATTGCATTCTAAAATTGTTGTGGGCTTTCTGCTGGCATTGGTTGCAGAAAGGTTGATGTCCTTCCACACCAGTTGCTGATTTCTTCCCTTGTTCCATATCAGCTCTCTGCATTCTGCAATTGTTAACTGCATTTCTGCTTATAACTGTTCTGTATTTGCAGTTAAACTCGAACTTGCATATTTTGATTCTATAGTATTTTCTCCTTTTAAAACCAAAAAGTAACTAATATAAGAACAAACTTACCTGAACAAAAGCCCTTTCCATGCCTCATTATTGCAGTGAAAGATTAGAAATGCAACTAAAGAATAAACAGAGAAACTAAAAGACTTGACAGAAAAGAATTCAGCACTGCTCTATTAGATCTCAGGGATTTTTTTAGGTTAATTAATTTGAGAGCCTGAATACTAGCTGCTGTCCTTCCTTGCTCCCCACAGGCACTGCCCAGCCATGCTGGCTCTCAGCAGAAGCACATAGCTCACACCACTTAAAGGCTGATAGCCTCCAGTCTATCAATGCAGCAGCCACTTCATTAGGATTATTTATATCCTGTTAGATGTTAGAGTTTGAATATTCCTGTTCTGGCTGAAGGATGCTGAGTGTCTGTTCCCTTTGTGCAGAAAGCTACTTGTACCCCTCTTCGTGTCCTCAGCAATGCTATTGCTCTGAACACCTGGCTGTCATCTTCAGCTCTGCTCAAGCCACTGTCATTTATCCTCAGATCTCCCTGGCACCACAGGACTGCTCTGATTCCTGTGCTCAGCCAGAGCACAGCATTTCTCTGACAGTGCCCTAGAGTGCACTTAAGGGTGAGAAATATATATTGTGACTCTACTTCACACAGAAATCATTCCCGGCTGATTATTTCCTAGTGCCCATGTTTGTGTTACAGCCAATTTTGTTCTACAAAAGTAATGTGGTAGAGCCACAGAGCAGCTGAAAACCAGCATGGCTTGAGCCCAGGGTGTTGAATGCATGAAGATGATTCACTGTCAAAATCTTTTGCCCTATGTCTTGTTTCCAGGGAACGGATTTTGCAAAAGCATCTTGCTTTGAACCATTATCAGAAATTGATTGCCTGTGCTGTATTCAGGAGACTGCACTATGCCACCCTGGCCTGTGCTGACACATCTTCCCAGTCACACAAGAGGCTAAGCTGTCAGTCCCCATCCTTTCTCTAACCTGGAACTTAACATTTTATTTCCAAGGATATCAACAGGACAAAAAAATTACGATGCAGGAATTCAGCGCACCCTCTGCTCCACTCAGCAATTTAGCCATAATGAAGAATCATAGACTCAGACTCATAGAATCATAAAATAATTTGGGTTGGCAAGGTCCTTTTAATAGTCCTACCACCCTACCATGGTCAGAGAGATCTTCAACTGGATCAGGTTGCTCAGAGCCCCATGGAAGCTGCTCTTGAATGTTTCCAGGATGGGACTTTGAGCTTCCTTTTCTGGCAGACACACCTGCAGCAACCCTTTTATTTCCCTTTGCATCTTTTGCCAAGTTCAGCTTCAGCTCATCTTGGCCTTCCTGACCTTGTCCATACAAAACTGGGAAGCATCCCCATACTCTTTCCATCTCTTTGCCATCTGGATTTGTAGCAAGCAGTACAACTAATACAGGTACTGTCTGAGAGTAAAGTAAGTAAAATGAAGAAAAGAATATGAAATCTGCATACCCTTCCCCTTTTGCTACCTTTTGCTGCCTACCTCTTACATGTATCTTGCCCACTTTGTGCCTATTGTTTATTGTAGATATTACTAAGAGGAGCTGACTAAGAGTACCTTCATGTATTGAGAGAATTACTGGCAGCAGATGGATATCATAAAGTGAGATGGAAGGCAAGGGTGGCTTGGTATTCCACTATGTGAGCAGAGCTAGGGGATTGCTCTAGAAGGCAGTTAAAGTGGAAGTGAATTTAACAGAGTGATACAGAAAAATAACAACTATAGAACAAAGCTGTCCATGTACTGACATCATATTGGCAGCAGGTCAAAGGCATCTGATATCAACTTTGTATTTTCCCAAGAGTGTCTTTATAAATATTCCTTCACTACCAAATAGCACAGAGACTTGGGTATTTCTCAAGTTTTATCTGACAAAAAGATAGAGAAGAAAAAAATGGGAGAATAAGGATGGAAAACTACTCAGATATTCAAGCAGAACATTTTTTTTCATTTCCATAAATAGCTAATTTATTATCTATTAGCTATGATTAGCTCATTTATTATTTATGTTTAATGCGGAAATTCTGAAAAAGATGTCCTTGATTCTTTGCATTCATGCTGTTACATATTGAAAACAGCCAGAATGAAAAAATATGTCTACTGCTACAGACACCAAGGCAATCCTATAAAGAAAGAGGAATGTTTGAACTTTAACCTCATCTTCATTGGACTTGCAGCAGGTTGTTGTACATACATATTATTCAGAATATGTAGCTGACACTTTACTCTGAAGTTAAGCCTGTACATCTCAAGACTTTTGCTGGGGGCAGGAATAAGCACATCCCTCTGGTTCTACTGCTCTGAGCAGGTCTAAAAGCAGCAGGCTCTTTTTCCTGAGAGCATCAGGAAGAGGAGTTCTCCCTCTTGTGGAGTCAAATGTGACTCTACTGGCAATTTAAATTCTGCTTCCATGATCATCCAGTCTCATAGACAGACAGGACCTAAGTCCTAAGATAGCAAGAGAAAGATGGATGTAATTTTCAGGATTCTTCATATGATGGCACAATATGGGCAAGAGGAAGGTCTAATCAGAAATAAGGTAATATCACCATGAAGACTGTGTTTTGACCTGAACACACATTGTGCATTGTAATAGTTCTGAAATTCTTTTGCACATCAGGCATCTGGTTCAGCAGCTTGTCCTTTAACTTATGACCATTACTATCAAATTTGCCTTTCTTCTGTTTCTAAATGACTCTGCACTTCTACATAGAGGAAAGATTTTTTAGTTTTAATTCAGTAAGTAACTTTTCCTTCTTTTTTTTCCCCCCCCCTCTGGTCTCTGCATGTAGGTAGAATGTTCTCAAACATCACCAAGCATGTTTTCTTCCAGTGTAAACTTTTTTGCCCTCCCTCCCTCCCTCTAGCAGGTGTGGCTAGCAAGAGCCTGAGAGGAGAGATGTGGGACTTCAGGTGGTTCTTCAAAATGCAGTTTATTATATCCAAGATGTTACAACAGACCAGGGTCATGGGTGACAGAGCCTGCAGCTTCAGCTTCAGCTGTCAGCTCCAGCTGCAGACAAGCCTGAAGACCGTTTAGTTTTGGTTACAATGCATTATATACTTTTCTTTGCTGAGAATCTTAATACATAAGAACCAATCTATACCTTTACTTTTACCTACAGCCTATGATAACTACTATCATTACCATATTATGGTTAATACTATACAATTATGTGAGTAAGTATGTTACAGTTTAAGCTAGAAGTTGTGTTTCAGTTTTTCTTGCAGTGGAGAATTCTTAGACCTTTTTTCTGCTTGCCAACCTTGGCTTTCTTGTTTGTCTACGGTGTCTTCCCACTTTTCCAAAGACCTATTTCTGCTTGGTAAAAACATCTTTTTGTTTGTGGTCAACATATATTTTGCTCTAGTCATAAAACCCCCTTCCAGCTCAACTTAACTTTTGCTTTCTTAGTTGTCCAGTAATGACTGGCTCAGCAACTGTCAATTTAGACATCTATTGTTCTTCTATATCAAAACTTGGTTCCATCTCTACTTTGTTCTCAGATTCTACATTCAAAGAGCTTTCTGACAAGCATACATATCTGTGAAACTTTCTTGTCAAAACTTCATCCTTTCCAACCAAGTGCTTTATAGTTTCAATATGTTACATGATAAGTCAGTATTAACAAACAGAATTTTAAAAAGAAATCCTGGAAAAGAGAGTGTTTTATAAAACCATCACAATTTAACTGACATCAAACTGATGCACAGTACAGTGGTTAGTGCTCTAGTATGACTGAAAATATGGGGAGAACTTCAGATGATAAAGATTGATCCAGATAGGAGAGTTCAAGGCACAATTCTCAGTGTTGAGGCAACTCTATTTGCTCTTAGCTGCTTTGGGTTCCACGTCTATGTCCAGGTCTGACAGAGCACAGTAGAAGAGCATCTGAACATACTTCGTCGTTGTAGCTGTACCAGCAAAAATGTGTGACAGAAATTTAAATATATCTTAGACATACATATGGATTTTGAGGATTTGAAAACATTACACAGATATTAGGAAAATATTGAAACACCTTAATAAAATTAAGCATAAGGTATAAATAGCTAAAGGCAAAAGAAGCCAATAATTTAGCTGAAATTCTTGTTTAATCAGATTTTCATCAACATTTTCATTTAATTGATAGCTGAATTTAAAGTATAATAAATAAAAATATTAAAGATTTGCTTTTCAAGACTGCCTGAATTTGAGGACTGGCAACTACCCTTCAAGCCAATAATTAATTATTTCCTTGTTTCTGAAAATCTGTGCATTCCTCTGATTTGGATTGTTCCATTCCTTGGATGGAAAGGGAAGCAAAGATGTTCTGGTATTTCTGCCTTCCAGGGTATTAAAAAGATTAGGTTTAGTATTCACAATCCTACATGGCTTTTACAGAGTCAGCATAGTTATGACACCCACATATTGGAATGTTTTGTACAGGTAAGCATGGTTTTGTTTTCAGGACCATGTGATAAAGCAGATGATCTCAGACATGCCACATACCAAAGCATAGCAAAGCTTCATAAAAAAAAAAGATTTTAGGAAAAATTACTCTTTCCTTCTTCTGACCAAGGTTTTGACATGGTGATTGGGATATGATGTTACTTACCAGAGAGCCAAAGTAGACATTTAGGTCGTTTTTCAACTGGCAGGTAGACTCCCAAATAATATGCAGGGATGCCTGAGAGGGCAATACCAATGCCAATAAGGGAATTGATTGTGTCACTGTAGAGAGGCACTATAATCAGGAATAGGGAACACAAACAATATACTATAGGGAAGAAGAGGCTAAGCTGTGAAGAGAAAAAAAAATACAGCATTTGTTAAAAGATGCAACAAACACTATTGTAAAAATTCAGGCTTTACAGATTAAAGTTAGACATGTCAATAATAAAAGTATGTACTGAATCTTTTTGGCTGCTTACAGTCAGCATAATTTATTAGCTTCTGTGTACACTGCTGAGAGCCTCTTATTTGGTGCACATCTGAGCATCTGACTAATTTATTGTTTTCAGGTCTGCATAAACTCAGTTCCTTTACAATTGGTAAAAGACCAGCCTTTGAAAGAAGTACTTTAAGTAATGGGTAGCTTTCTCTCCAAATTCAGTTCTGAATTGTTATGTGTAGTTTTGGTTGGGAACTACCTCACTAGACTGTCAATTATCATCTTGATGTTGCAGAACTAATGGACTTTACAACCATTTTTGTGGGCACTTAACAAATATCATATCATAAATAAGGAAAGATGGGCCATGAAGCTGATAAGAAGACAGGAGCACCTTCCCTATGACAGCAGGCTGAGAAAGCTGGGGCTGTTCAGCCAAGAGAAGAAAAGGTTTCATGGACACCTCACAGCAACCTTCCAGTGTCTTAAGAGGACCTACAGGGAAGCTGGAGAGGGATGCTTCATCAGGAACTGTAGTGATAGGATAAGGAATAATAGTACAAACTGAAAGAGGAGAAATTTAGGTTAGGTATTAGGAAGAAATTCTCTACTGTGAAAGTGGTGAGACACTGGAACAGGTTACCCAGGGAGGTTGTGGATACCCCAACTCTGGCAGTAGTTCAAGGCTAGGTTGAATAAATCCTTGAGCAACCTGGTCTGGTGGAAATTGTCCCTGCCTGTGGCAGGGATGGTTAGGACTAGGGGATCTTTAAGGTCCCTTCCAAACCTTGACATTTTATGGTTCTATGATTCTATTAAAGTTTCAAAAACCTCTTTATAAATTTATTTTTCTTTAATTTTTTTTACTGCTTCTTGTAGTGAGCCTTTTAAGGGTCCAGGAGTTGACATTTGAATACCAGCTGAAATTGGTGAGAGTTTACTGGGATAAATACTTTTCTTTCCTTATAAAGGTTAAAAATGTAAGTTGATGAAAACCAACTGGTACATTTCAGAAAAGGAAATGGTACAGGTGGAGTTGTGATGTTGACTAAGCTGGCAAATGCTGACAGGAATTAAACAGGAATTTTGTGAAAAACTCTGACTGTAATCCTTAGTAGAGTCAGATAATAAGCCAATAAGTCTTTATCTTCCACATATTTTGTGGGAAAGATTGGAAATTGAGTGTGAACATGCTTCAGGAAAATTTTGTCTGCTGTGGAAAATTGGGAAGGTTTTTAGCAGGAGATGCTTAAGATATTTTATGCCTTTGTTTGAACTTTTTAAAAATTAATCAGGATGTTACACAAATGAAAAGGAAATGAGTTTGTAAAAATGATGCAGGAGTTTAGGAAGAGAGACTGACAAAGAAGAAATATTTGGGGGCTGTTAATTTGTAATTCTCTTGATTTTTACTGCATCACTGCAAAGCCAAAATGCAGGTCAGCAAGCCAACAAACAGGAGCCAGTGCATGGTTTTGTGTGCCTGCTGTGTGTTTCCATCCTTGCTTCCTGGACAATCACTGGATTAAAACTAGAAACAGGTTTTAGGCACACTTTGTTTCTGTGCAGTCTCCCTTGTCTAACTGATATTCAAATGCTCTTCTAAGTAAATCATTAAACTTGCATTTTACGGTCTATGACCACTACCCAGTGGGAGGGAACATTCAGAATATATTTGATTATTTAAGCTAACTTCTGTGTGGGCAGAATTGTGGACATTTATGGGCTTTGGAGGGATTTTACTGTTTTTGTTAAGTCATGTAGGTTTGATCAGAGTGTTAACCTCTTTGGAGCCTCCATCACCAGCTCTGCTGAGGTCTGCTATTCTTCCAGGATGGGCTATAAACCTCAGACATTTATTTATTCCTCATTTGTTTTGAAGCAAAAAATTATTAAAAATCTGAATGAAAGAAGAATAAATGGTATATATCTTTTCAATCTCACAGCAAAACTATCAGAACAGATGTTCTTCTGGACTCTAATGGGTATTGCTCCTTCATCTTGTATTTTGAAAGAATTTTTATGGCTAATAAATAATCTACAATAATAACTGCTACTGTTATGGCTGTGATAGTACAGATCATATAAACACATGCATTAGCTGGCTTCTAGAGCTTTCTTCCTGTCTTTTTTACTTACTTTAACAGGCCGTGGTCTATGTGGCTGAGTATATCTCAGATATATTAGTCCTGCAATAGATAGACCCACAAAGAGCCAGTAGTTGAAGCAGTAGTAATTAATAAGGAGGAAAACATCTTCCACAAGGAGATAAAGCAAAGTCATTAAGCCCTAGGGATAATAAAAACAAAGACTTTTTAATGTGAAAATAAAGACC